CTCTCCTTGCTCTGTTACCCGACACTTGATGGCGCTAGTGTCAGACGTCAACTTAGGCGCGCAACACTGCCTAAGACATGCTGGTTCCGAGCGTTATCGGCCTCCATCTTTCTTTTCTGTAACGGCTCCGCAATGTCAAGGGCTGTCCTATCCCATGATGCACCAACATTGTACAATTTCGATGCTCCTTTACTACGTGTCTGAGGTCCCCTCACAGCCGTACAACTTGTACACGTGCGACACCAATCCTCGACATCGTCACGATAATGGACCCAGTAAAACTGTTCTCGGATCTTCAGTAGAGTTCGTTTAACTCCCAGATGGACTCTTGAACAACTATTATGGTGCAGCTGTAGAACATTCGGCACTTTAGCTTTAGGGACAACCATTTGCAAACGACAGCTATCTCCTCTCGACCGTTGTCCCATTTACGGCTGTTTAATGATTTAGTTTCTAAGTGCGATCATAGATGGCGCTTGCTGTATGTTGCTTAACGCGGTGTAAAGGTTTTTTGATTTAATGACCCTCGGGTTCTTACGGCTCACAATAAAAAGAAAACTAATTGGTTTGTTAGTACTTTATATTGAAGTTTAATTTAAAATACATACCTACCTCGAACTACTTCGTCATACCTATGTACTGGATTATACATAGTGTTGGTACTTCGAGCCGACTGTGGATCGGTCGGTTAGTTTGGCAAGTTGTTCAGTTTTTGGAAGAGGTTTTGGCTGGGCAAGTGGATCGATTGCGCAAACTAGCCAAGTTCAGCAGCGGTGGTGGCAAGGAGGCTACCACCTACTGCAGACGGTGCCTGTCAGGAAGCAAAGCGGAACAACTACGAGCGGAGGAACGGGGAGTGCGGGGCGCAACGCGCCTTGTACGTCATCAACTACAGTCCATTGAGGTGATACCAGGATAAATTGTAAGTGATTTGAACCTTATTTACATGCAAAAATTAACTTTGAAAATATTAAATCAAGTGCAGTGTTTACAATTAAGTGGTGCAAATTTGAACTCTATTTCTTAGAAGATTGAAACTTAGTAAAATTTTGGACATTACTTGGAGTTAGAATAATTTAGTAGTTTGTTCACATTAACTTAGTTACATTTTAAGGAAATTTGGCAAAGACGGGGAACCCATGCCCAATTTTTTGGAAACATAACAAATGCAAAAACACTTGTAATTTTTTAGGATTTTCTGTAACTTATGTTTCTTGCATAGTAAAAAAGAATTATATTTGTATTGAAGTTAAATAATAGTTTGATTCAAAATGGAAGATTTAGTTAACTTGCAGATCGATTCTTATGACCGTATGAAAAAGGCTTTAATTAATTATAAAAAGAGTCCTAAAGAGGGAATAACACAGCAATATGTACAAATCAGATTAGATTCTCTAAATGAACTTTGGTCTATGTTTAATGATACACACGACAAGATTGTGAGAGCATCTACTGATAGAAAATTTGCTTATTTTAAAGATAACATGTATGAATTAGTTGAAGAGTTGTATGTGGAATATAAAACAGTTTTAAAACAAGTGCTGGACACCTTTGAAAAACCAGTAAAGGTTGTTTCAAATGTGGTTGATTCAAATAGTTCACAGACTCAGAGTACAAACATTCAATTGCCTCGAATTGTAATACCTACCTTTACAGGGCAGTATTCAGAATGGACCACATTCCGAGATCTGTTTGTATCGTTAGTGCATAGTAATTCTCAGTTAGACAATGTGCAGAAAATGCACTATTTAAAGGGTTATTTGTCTGGTGAATCGGAACAACTTCTTAGGTAGATTCCAATTGCTGATTCAAATTATACGAGATGTTGGACATTATTAAATTCGAGATATAACAATAAGAAATTCTTGTGTAATTTTATTCTCAAAAAATTTTTAAGTCAAAAAAATATTGTCGGTGAGTCTGCGCAAATGTTAAAGGGATTGATTGACACCACCACTGACTGATTAACGCCCGAACTTAATAACGTATCTCTTTTTTAGGATTAATAGCAATCCGAGATTGTACCCTATACAAAGATCGATCCAAATCCACATCCCAATAACATAACAAGCCCAATCTTTTTTTGCGGCGATCGCAGTCGATCCAAACAGATGTTTGGATCGATCCGTTTCCTCTCGACTGTTTCGTTTTATGCATAGCGACTATTGCTTCTTTCAAATAGTTGTATTAATATAATAACATAAAATGTAATTTTAGATTTATAACTATTGACTTTAATTAGAAGTTATTACATTAACTCCTTTTTTCTCCCAAAAATTATAAAATGATTATATTTTTATTTAAATCAATGTAACTATGGTTTGAAAACAATCACGTAACGGAACGCCGCCGGTCAGTAGCGGCCGCAGCGTCATCGGTCATCGCTCATCGCATCGGTCAACGGTCAAAACAATTATCAAGTTTCACTGCTTCCGTTCGATCACAGTTCGAGAACAGAAATATTTACAGCAAATACTTTTTGAATAATAAAATAATGGAGCCACAAATAGTAAGTTAAATTGTAATACATTAGATATTGTATCATTTGATGCTTGATGTACAACTACATAAATCGCTTTTTATTTCAGATAAAGAGCAAGCCACTTTCAAAAGATGAAAGCAAAGCCTTACTCGAACTTATTGAAATGAGCAAAATTATAATATCTAAAGCCACAAACGCCAGCAGCAATAAAATGAAAGACAAAGAGTGGGTACGAATAGCCGAGCAGTTTAATGCTACAGCAACAAGTTGTCGTCGGACACCACAACAGCTTCGGCTGAAATGGGAGAATTTAAAGAAGAATGCACGTAAACGTTGCACTAAAATAAGAATGAACAGCATAAACGTTAGTTTCGTTGTTTATTTATTTTTAATCTAAGTATAAATAAATGATTAACCATTTTATTTACATTCTTTATTAACATCTTTTTGATTTGCAGACTGGCGGTGGTTTTGGTGAGTATATACCCCCAGACGAAATACTGGATCGTGTTACCAGCTTATTGGGGAATACAGCTAGTGGATTAGTTGTTCCTTATGGGGGAGATAGGGAACCCGAGCACTTTGTAGTGATTAGTGATGGTGGTGGTATCGTGCCAAATGGAAATGGTGTAGAGGAATTAGGTGGTGATGCTAGGGTCAATCTAGAAATCCTAGAGTTTCAGGACACACCAGTGCCAGATTCGCAAAAGGAAATGGTTGTGACCCCTACTTCTCCACATTCAGCAATGGCTCAGGTTAACACCTATGCTGTTGCTGAACAAAATAAAGTTTCGGATACACCACGGAGAGTAACATTCAATGTTCCTAAAACAGGTAATGGTTATTTTGATGTTGATAGAATTTTAATTTATAAAATAACAATTTCACATGGTGTTCCATTCGCTGAGGTTGTGGTATGGTCAAACTTGTAGTCCGCTTTAGTTTAAAAGCAGTGTAAATTGAGGTAAAATAATAATAGGCAAAAGATATACTCCTTTTTTATTTTAAAAAAGGCTAACGTGTAATTTAATAAATTAAATTAATTTGTATTTTACAGGTAAAAGGAAATTGCAGGGTGATGGGTCCAAATCTGCTAGAGACAGTGCCATTGCAGAATATTATACATTTAAAAAACTGTGCCTGGAGTCAAAATTAGAAAATATAAAATTAGAAAATAAAAAACTTAAATTAGAAAATGAAAAACTTCTATTAGAAATAGAAAATTTTAAGAAATAGTTATTTGTGTAATAGTATGTAAGTGTAAAAAATAATTAAGTATTCTGATACATAAAAGACAGTCATGTCTGTAAGTAGTTGTTAATAAATTCAAGCTTTGTATGTATTCATGATTTGTAATATTAGTAGTTATATAGTTTGTATTTGAAAATCTTTTAACCAATAAAATATGTATGTAATAAATGTATTAAAGTTAGATTAATGTCTTAGTAATATAGTAATTAAAGAGTAAAATCATTTTTTTTTATTGAATATTTGTTTTATTTTTACAATTAAATTCACAAAATATAAAGAAAAGTAACACTTGTGATCTCTGAGTTCTTTGCCTGCTAAATAGCCTATAATATATAAATATTATTATTAGCAACTCCTGTTTAAATTGAACAAAAATTTAAAAAGGGTAAGTATTTTTACTTACTTGGAGACTATTATGTGGATGATATGTGGTATAAAAGGAGGAAAAGGTAGTTACAAATTAAATACTTTTTTTTATAAATGTCTAGGTATTATAGTAATAATTGTATTTTAATAGAGATAAATAATTTTTATTGATTTTTTAAATTTTTACAATTAAATTTACAAACTTTAATAAAAAATAACAACTGATTCTACATTCAATTTTTAACCTTTAACATCAGTGCAAGCCTGCATCACATCACATTACAATTTGAATACATATTATTTGCACCCGCATCTCAAAACAGTTAACAAAAAATAGTTGCTTTATGCAGTTGGTAAGGAGACCGATGAGCTACATCGTTCATAAGCTTTGAGCGTGAATTTTTCTTTAAATAAAATACATTTAAAGAAAAAGTACCACTTGTGATTTCTGATTTCTAGTTAGTCGCCAGCACACAGTTACATGGAGACTATTATAAAACATAGAAGGTAGTTATAATTATTTGACTTCTTTTATATAAATTTATCAATATTATAGTAATTAATGTACATTTTTATAATATACATTAATTACTATAATAAAAATTAAATAAATATAATTAAATTTACAAACAATTTATAAAGAAAAGTAACACTTAAAGGGAACTTCACAGTTTATTTCAATTTAACAATATTTTAAAAAGATTAAGTACTATTACTCACATATGTGGTATAGAAGTAGTAGAAGGCAGTTATAATTTAAGTTCCTTTTTATAAATATCTTAGTAGTATAGTAATATAGTAATTAATGTGTATTTTTAATACAGAAATTAATTTTTAATACTTGCTTTATTTTTACATTTGAATTTAAAACTAAGAAAATACTAACAATTTAATTTCTAACTTATTCTACATAATTGTTTTTACCTGTAATGTTAATTAAGGCAGTTATTTGTCCAATGAGTGTCAACGTTTCTATAATGTCATAAAATAATTCATTTATCAAATCAGTTCTATGGTTTGTAGGAATATCATTAACTGCTACATTATGAGGCATTGTACTATTGTCGACAGATGGTGGTTCTACTTCAGAGGGGATTTCTGTTAGATTGTGATTTCTGCAAATATTATGTAGGACTGTAGTTGCCTCTATTATTACCGCCTGCATATTTGGTATTGACAAACGTAGTGTAAGAGCTACAACAGGGAACCTACGTTTCCATACTCCAAATGCTCTGTAATACAAACAGTTTGTTTATTAAACACCAGTATTCCCATAACACATTTTATCTAATAATACTGTTTTATTTAACATACCGTTCAATAGTATTTCTAGTTTTAATGTGTGCTTCATTGTACCTATGTTCAGCTTCAGAAACTGGATTCAGAACAGGTGTTAATAAATATGGCCTGTTTGGATAGGCGAAGTAACCAGCGATTTCCGAATTGCCCTGCATCACATTCAGCTGTTATAAAAATAAAGAATATTAGGCTCTGACAGTAAATATTCAAATTTATTACAATTTGAATACATATTATTTACACCTACCTCTCAGAATAGAGTTATTAAATATAGTTGCATCATGCGTAGAACCAGGCCAACGAGCCACAACATTTATAAACTTTAAGTCTGCATCACAAACACCTTGAACATTTAAAGAAAAGTAACCCTTCGATTTCTGTATTATTCGCCTATTAAATGACCTAAAATATATAAACATTATTATTAGCAACTTCATAGTTTATTCATATTTGCCAAAATTTTAAGAAGAGTTGAGTATAGTTACTTACATGGAGACTGTATTCGGATATGTGTGCCATCAATTGCCCCAAGCACGCGAGGAAATCCAGCAATTCTATAGAATTTGTCTGTCCTCATTCGATGAACATAAATATATTTATCATATAATTGGGCAATTGCTGATGATGTGTCTCGCACTATTCTGCCTGCTGTAGATTTTGACACTCCAACAAAATCTACGGATATCAACATTGTGCCTAGTGCATAAAACCGTAGGGTCAACAAAAGTTGATGCAATGGTGATACTCCGTAATTTCTGCAAAGGATTACATAAAATGAAGTATATTATATACTTAGATTGTAAAAAATTATCTAATTTGCTATAGACCAGCTTTGCTTTACCTCGTGGATGTTACTCGTAATAATGGGGTTATTTCTAACAATAAAGAATTGAACGCATGTTTGTTCAATCGAAACCTAAAGGTAAAATCACCGTCATCGAGACTTTGCGTGTAGTTCACTCTTCTGATTCCCTTTGGAGTGCGGCGTAGGGTTTCATCTTCATCACTCGAGTCAGATAACTGAGCTAGCATTTCCAAATCACTGTCACTGTCACTAGATAGTAATGTTAAATCCATTTTCGCGCAAATAAAATAAAACAAAATATGTAATCGGTTGGAACTCGAAGGATTAATCCTAGGCTTTTCTCGGATTGCGAATTTGGATTGTTTACACCGATCGAACTAAACGTCAAAATTGACAGATAGGTTATTGATACACACAAATTGTCATTCGCCCACAGAGGTCTATCTTTTTTTGTAATCCGACCTCCCGAGGATAGCTTGCTTCTACAGATTGTAATTTTAATCCCTGGATTGGTTGTTGGCACTGTCTAACCATAAAATGGATTGAATTATCAATCTTGGATAGCTAAAAATAGATTAAGATCGAATATTAGGTTCGGGCGTAAGTGCGTTAACAAACATAGGAGTCGATGTGTGCTCCTGGGATATACTTATAATACACTTGTTAACCCTTAAACTTGACGTAGATTCCAGAAAAGAGTGGGAATTCTATATTAGCAACAACAGTGAACTTGACGAACTTCCTAAGTTCACTCAATTTAAAGACTTTTTAACGAAACGTTATCGCGCTTTAGAGTTTCTGGAACCTAAGTCATCAGTATCACACAAGGCTCAAAGAATTCAGTCACAAAATGTTTATAAACCTAAGGTTTTTCACGCAACTGAACTTAAATGTGAATTCTGTTCTGACAATCACAAAATTGGTAACTGTAAAAAGTTCGCCAAGGAAGATATTGATAACCGTAGAAGTTTTATTGAGAAGAACCGTCTGTGTTTTAATTGTTTTGGTCATCATGCAGCCAAGATATGCCAAAGTACTTTAAGCTGTAGAATTTGTAAACGTAAACATCATTCGATGCTACATCCTAAAATGTCTCATGATGAAGGTTCAGGTAGGTCTGGTGATGTGCCTAGTGGTTCTGCTAGTGCTAAAGGGTCTAGTAAGGTTTTCGTTTCTTTGTCTGGTGAGGATGTTAAGCGTTCATCCACTAAAATATGGTGGCGTCATCCAGCTCAATAGAAAGCGACCCTGTTATCACGTGCTATTCATCGAATCAGTTGCCGGTTCAAAGTCAGATTCTGTTAGCCACAGCTCTGGTTAAGGCAGAGTCATCCAACGGAGAGCGTTATTTAATCCGAGCGCTGCTTTATCACGGAAGCAGTTGCTCAGTACTTGGGTCTTAAGAAGATGGCTGTACAGGGGCGTATATCTGGATTGGAGGGTAACAACAACATTGCTGTTAAATATATGGTAAATTTGAAGGTTCATCTTAGGTTTGATTCCACCACAGCGATAACCGTTCAAGCTTACATTCTCAAGTCTATTACCTCTTTTCTTCCTAGTAAAAAGGTAGGTTGTTGAATTAGAGTAGGTAAATAAAAGTGGCATATGCTTAGCTGACCCACAATACCACACTCCTAACAAAATTGATGTTTTGTTGGGTGCAGAGGTATACGGACAAGTCATACAAGGTCAAATCAAAAGGGGATCAGAAGGATCATTAGTAGCTCAAAGTACCTCTCTGGGTTGGATAATTTCAGGTACTACACAACAGATCCGAAGCAACCACGTCGTTGTAATGCATGCTTTGACGGATGATTACCTCATGGTATTTTGGGAAATGGAAGCTGAACCCAAGAATCAATCAAAAATATTATCGCAAGAAGAAGAAGATTGTGAAAGGTTTTATGCACAAACAACGTGCAGAGACTCGCAGGGCCGTTATATAGTGCGACTTTCATTTAAACACCAAAATGTCGAGTTTGAGAGTTCTAAATTGATTGCAGAGAAAAAGCTTAGATCATTAGAATCTAGATTCAATAAGAATGAATCTTTAAAAAGGAACTACGCTAAGGTAATCAAAGAATACGAAGACTTAAATCATATGGAGATCGTTCCAGAGATGGAACAAAACGGAAACAAATCTTTCTTTCTTCCACATCACGCTGTCATTAGAGATGACAAAAACACGACCAAGATTCGAGTCGTATTCGATGCATCCCGTAAAGATCAAAATGGTAACTCCCTAAATGATGCTCTTATGATAGGGCCAACCCTACAGTCAGAATTAAGGCATTTACTGATAAGGTTGAGGAAATACCCTATTTGCTTGGCAGCTGACATCGTTAAGATGTACCGTCAAGTCAAGGTGGCTGGTCAAGATACAGATTACCAACGGTTGTTATGGTGTAATCAGTGGAATGGTGAGGCTGAGGATAACGAAAATGCAGAAGCTACTAGAAAATCAAAGGCAAGTATACAGGAATATCGTTTATTGCGACTAACATTCGGAACCGCTTCAGCGCCCTATTTGGCAGTAAAGACTCTGCAACAACTGGCTCGTGACGAAGGTGCACTGTATCCTGAAACAGCTAAAAAAATAGTTAGTGATATTTATGTGGATAACTTGCTATCGGGCTGTCAAACAGTGGAAGAAGGATTACAGATTTATAGAGAATTGAACATAATGCTAAAAAATGGAGGGTTTGAACTTTAAAAGTGGATGACAAATGACAGTAAACTACTGGAAAGGTTAAAAAAGGAGGAAGAAGGAAAGGATATAGGAGAAGGGATTAACTTAAAAACAGATGAGATAGTTAAACTTTTAGGACTTACCTGGAATCGACGATCCGACGAATTTCAGTACACGGTGACACTTCTGCCGAAGGCAGCACCTGTAACAAAAAGAAAGGTTTTGTCAGACATAGCTAAATTATACGACCCACTAGGTTGGCTTGCGCCATGCATAATCAAAGCAAAGATTTTAATCCAAAAATTGTGGCTGGCAGGAATAAATTAGGACGAAGAACTTCCAAACTCAATACTCAAGGAATGGATTACTTACCGGAACGAGTTAGAAAATTTGAAACAATTCAAGTTGCCTCGTTGGATGAAAACCAAAGCTGACGATGAAGTGGTAGAACTCCATGGATTTGCAGATGCTTCGAATGCTGCGTATAGTGCAGTAGTATATTTGCGAGTTGTTGATTCGGATGGAAATATTTACGTCAGCTTGGTTACCTGCAAAACAAAGGTAGCACCAATTAAACAAATATCAATTCCTAAAATTATTAAGTAAGCTTCTGAAGGAGGTGTCTAAAGTGTTGAACATTGAAAGGTCTCATATTCATGCTTGGTCAGATTCAGAAGTGGTTTTGGCCTGGTTGAGAGGACATCCAAGCAAATGGCAGACATTTGTTGGAAATCGTGTCTCAGAAATTCTGAGCTTACTTGATTCTAATCAATGGTCACATATTCCATCCAGCCAGAATCCTGCTGATTGCGCATCGAGAGGGCTAAATCCATCCGATATGTTGAAAAAAATTTGTGGTTTTATGGTCCACCGCTTCTTCAGGAAAAGACCGTAAAATATTCTAAACCAAAAAACGATGAAACTCAGTTGGAAATAAGAAAGGTTCACTTTAATGATATGGATAAATTCATTTGGGACAAATACTCTTCATGGATCAAGCTGGTAAGAGTGGTGGCTTATTGCAGGCGTTTCCTGTGTGGGAAAAATAACTCTGAACGCCGTCATAATTACCTTACAGCTCAAGAGTTAAAACATGCTACTGACACCTGTATTAGACAATGCCAACGGGAACATTTTAAAAGGGAATTTGAACTTTTGAAAGCTAATGAACCGAATAAAATCAAGGGTCCTCTTAAACCTTTAAATCTGATGGTAGACGAATCAGAACTGCTACGAGTGGGAGGACGTCTGGAAAAATCCCAATTGGACACAAACAAAAAGCATCCGATTCTGCTTCCTAAAAAATCGCCTGTAACGGATGTAATTGTCGCTGATGCCCACACAAACACGCTACATGGAGGTCCGCAGCTTATGCCTACATATTTGCAATCCAAATACTGGATTTTAGGCTCCAAACTGTTGACAAAATCACATGTCAGAAAATGTGGGACATGTTTGAAGGACAGGGCAAAATCTGCCACGCCTTTATTGGGCCAGCTTCCAGCTGCTAGAGTAACACCTTCTAAACCATTTAAATGCTGTGGAATTGATTACGCTGGACCCATCAACGTACGGACAACAAAGGGCAGAGGATAGAAATCATATAAGGGATACATATGTATTTTTATTTGTATGGCGACTAGAGCAATTCATCTGGAAGTTGTTAGTAATCTTACAACCGAAGGATTTCTAAGCGCGTTGAAGCGATTTGTTGCTCGCCGTGGGCTCTGTACCGACATTTGGAGCGACAACGGCACAAACTTCGTGGGAGCCGCTAGAGAGTTGCGCACACTATTTGCCTCTGAAAGGTCAGAAATCTTAAGAGATGTGGCAGATTCCTTGGCTTCACACGGCACTTCTTGGCACTTTATTCCGCCACGGTCACCGAATTTTGGAGGGTTGTGGGAAGCCGGAATTAAGTCGGTGAAGAAACACTTAAGGAAGGTCATCGGAGACACAACCTTAACCTACGAAGAGCTGTCTACAGTCTTGATTCAGATTGAGGCCTGCCTGAATTCAAGACCTCTAACACAACTTCGGACAGACCCTGAATCATTGGAGGTACTAACTCCCGGCTATTTTTGGTTGGAGAACCCTTGGTTACCTTACCAGACAACAACTTTGAAACCTCCAACATCAGCAGTTTACGCAGGTGGCAACTCACCCAGAAGCTGATGCAACAATTTTGGCGACGATGGTCGCAAGAATAATTAAACCAGTTTTTACATAGGTACAGATGGTCACAACAAACACCTGAACCGCAGTTAGGAGATATAGTGTTGATAAAGGAGAATGACTTACCCCCGTGTAAATGGCTCCTTGGCCGTGTGATAGCTAAACATCCAGGAACTGATAACATTACGCGTGTAGTCACTTTGCGAACTAAAAATACAGTTATCAAGAGACCAGTATCCAAGCTCTGTATACTTCCAATTGATACTGGACCTTCTGCTAACCAATAAAATGTTTAATGTACTTCTTAACCCCTTATGGGTATCTATAAAATATATTTTATTTGTAATGGGTAAATATAGGTTACTTACTTTGTTTTGTTATTGTATTGTGGCATGGTGGGCGGTTTACTTTTATTGTTTTATTGACACGTTAATGTTAATTAAGGACGATTCTATTTATATCGTCCTTGGTGGGCGGAATGTTTAATGATTTAGTTCCTAAGTGCGATCATAGATGGCGCTTGCTGTATGTTGCTTCACGCGGTGTAAAGGTTTTTTGATTTAATGACCCTCGGGTTCATACGGCTCACAATAAAAAGAAAACTAATTGGTTTGTTAGTACTGTATATTGAAGTTTAATTTAAAATACATACCTACCTCGAACTACCTCGTCATACCTATGTACTGGATTATACAACGGCACAGGACTCCATCCTGAATCAGCAAGCTGTCCCGTTGGGCCCAATAGCTTCTAGTGGTTGAACTCATCGCTGAGACGTCGCTCTACTTAGGCTTGGTAGCACGGGCCTTCATCCATTCCAGAATCGGCTTGATATCCGGATCTTCTTGCTGTGCATGTCGTAGGCTGTCCTTCCACTCGTTGCTGAGGTGGTCTGTTCTGAGCATCCTCACGGATACCACTTCCTTACTCTCTTGCCTAGTACAATGTTTGCAATCTTCAGGACAAGGTCTTTTTGACAATGCATCTGCGTTGCCGTGAGATTTCCCGCTGCGATGTCTGATAGTAAAGTCGAATTCCGGCCGCTGCTTGGCGGTGATGTTAGCCGCACTTCCCTTCTGAGATCGTTCACCTTCCCTTTCTAGGGTTCGCTTAGGGCAGCTGGATCGAAGATGGCCCCTTTCCCCACAGCCATAGCACCTAGGGCTGTATCCTTTATTGTGGTCGCGAATCGTAACTACTGCAACCTCCCTAGCGTGAGGGGAACGATGATCCTTGCACCGCCAGGCGGTGCCGTTAGCTGCACTACCCTCTCGAGATCGATTAACTTCCCTTTCTACAGTTCGCTTAGGGCAGCTGGACCGAAGATGGCTCCTTTCCCCATAACCATAGCACCTAGGGCTATATCCTTTGTCGCTGTCGTGAACTGTAGCTGCTGCAACCTCCCTGACGCGATGGGAACGATGATCCTGTCGCACGGCTTCCACCTCTAGTGCATAGGTCAAGGCGTCCTTAAGCGTTTCGTGGTGCCTCAGCCTCACAGCAGCTCTGACTTCAAGGCCGCGGATACCGTCGATAAATGTCTGCACCAGGTTCCCTTCAATGAGCGCAGGTACAGACCGGTATGCTTTTCGCACCACCTTTCTCCACCTCTAGAGCCCACTGCTGCAGGGTTTCGTTAATGCGCTGCACGCGATCTTTAAGCTGCGCACGAAAGACGTGTTCCAGGTGAGCGTTGCCATATCTCGCCTCCAATGCCTCAAGGAGCTGCTCGTAGGTCACTTTCTTACCGAGAGCTTCCAACACAGGTAAGGCGTGGTCACGCAGGCCTAGGGTGAGTGCAGTCATGGCCTGGTTTTTATTCCAGCCGTTCGCCTCCATGACAGCCTCGAACTGGATTTTGTAGGCTGATCAGAAAGAAGTGCCGTCGAACGGTGGTACCTTGAACCCACGTAGCGAAGGTGTTGTAGCTACTATGGGAGCTGTAATTCCATCCTCCAGTTTGAGGTCGTCCAGCGTTTTCTTCACGTCAGCTATCACGTTGTCAACCCGATTATTCACTTGGTCGATTCTGTTTCAGCTTTCTCGATTCGGGTTTCAGCTTTCGCGATTTGGGTTTCAGCTTCCGACAGGCGGTTGTCATGCTGAGCAACCCTATCCTTCACCTCCTTTATCTCCTTTCCGAAGGTAGCGTGAAGATCCTTCATGAGGTGCATCTGCTCTTACAACCGACGGGCCTGTTCCTCTTGTCCGCCCCGCAGCTGCTCTTTCAAACGACGGGCCTGTTCCTCTTGTCTGCCCCGCAGCTGCTCTTTCAAACGACGGGCCTGTTCCTCTTGTCTGCCCCGCAGCTGCTCTTTCAAACGACGGGTCTGTTCCTCTTGTCTCCCGCGCTCTTCCAAACGACGGGCCTGTTCCTCTTGTCCGCCCCGCAGCTGCTCTTCCAAACGACGGGCCTGTTTCTGCAGCATCACCATCAGAGCACCAAAGTCGGGTGCTTCAGATGTAGGAGCTACTGACGGGCCTGCAGCTGGCGGGTGGCCCTACGACGTCTGCGGCGTTGCACCACCAAATCTTCTTTGGTCCGTCTCCTGCTGGCGTTGACTTCGGGTATGGACACCCTCCGTTTCCTCCTTAGGTAAAATCGGCATGATTTTATCCCACTTCTGACACCAATTGTTACGAGCTTGAGGTTCGTGACGATAAAAACTGCCGATTGAATTACCAAAACTAACACTTTAATTCACTTTACACTAATTAAACTTAAAACACTAATAATGGAATAATAAAAAAAGCCACACTGATAGACTTTATTTCGCTCCGAAGCTTCGCTTGTCTCGCCGAATTCAATACTGCTCCGATCGCGGCTTGCAGCGGGTTTAAATACACTTTTGCGCCGAAACAACCAGAATATTCCCGTAGATACGGGCGGCGACCGACCAGACGCAGAAAGTTCGAGTATGAGGCTTCTAGAAGAACTAAGCTTTCTAGAAGTAGTGTCTTTTATGTTTTAATTAGTGTAAAGTGAATTAAAGTGTTAATTTTGGTAATTTTATCAGCAATTTTTATTGTCACGAACCCTAAGCTCGTAACAATATCATCAAATCGTAGATTTCTTAGAAGAAATTTAAAACGTTGGACAGACATCGTTAAATAAATGCCATCGATTCCAGTGTGATATCTGTGTTCAAATATTTGTTCATAGCTGCTTCGGCCCAATTTCAATACACCTGCTAAATAAATAATACTGAGAAATGCCTTTACTTCAGTAGAATACGTCAATTTGGCATCACGTTCTCTGCCATATTTTTGTTTAATGTTCGATCTTTATGTTAGTATATTTTACTATCAGATCAATTACTACATCATCTAAGAAAAGAGATATACAATCCTCAGCAGCACCTTTCTCCCGGGCGATTCCTTTAGGTCCTGGAGGTACAAAAACAATAATGTGGCTGCAAGTTCTTCTTCTATTCGATAACTCAGTCTTATTCCAGCGAGTATTATCCACATCGATGTAATACTTCTCGCAGCCAACTTGTGAGGAATCATCTTATCCTAGTTCAGATACGGTTACGGTAGGTACCTCATTTGGAGTTTCTTCTTCTTGCTCAGATTCAGATTGGTGGTCCTGCACTTCCAAAAAAATTTTTTTTGAAGAGACTTCTTTAATTTGATATTTTATTACAGTGGATTACCATTGTAATCCACGCGACCACTGCAGGGTTAACCCTTTCCTTTGATGTATTGAAATATTCTCAAAATGAAAATTATTTTGGTATTACGTTTGTATGCGAAATTCATCATATCCAGCCCCCTTAAATTGTATTCAATTTTGGCAGAGTTTCGATGGAAAATTAGTTAGCAGAATTGGTAGCAGAGCCTTCAGGTGAATTTAGAAAGTTTACAAGGATGTCCTTAATGACTTCTAGTTTTTACTTAACAAAGTGGAGACTATTAAATCATAACAAGATACTCAACTGAGATGTGCTATACCAGCAAAAATACGTAGTATTTACATTAAGATTTTTGGCTTCTGGTGACAGCTTTGAAAGTCTTCATTACCTTTTCAAGATATCAAGTTGTTTGATTTCGAAAATTGTACCTGAAGTATGTGCGGCATTAAATGAAGTCTTGAAAGATGAACTTATGGTTAGTAAATAATATATCATTACTTATAATTCTCTATTTATTTTACGAAAAAATCTCGTAGAAATCATGAGTCAGTCATTATTAAGAACTTACGTTATGAGGAAAAAACAATGAAATTAATTCAACGCAATGCATCAAATAAAACTTTGTTTATAATACCAGTCTGTGTAGATTGTGCAGGTACAATTCTTTCGTCAGATAAAATAGTAAAGTAGGATGGTGACTGTGATAGAGGATCTGTAGTCTCGGTAATTTCTGGAATATGAATAACTGGAATATCGATGACATTGTTCGGACTAGGCGACGGTAGACAATACGATGGATGGAAGAGGTGTAAATATTCTGTGTGAAATGGTTGGTCCTGTAGATGGCGAACAGGCTGTTTGAGGTCTGGGTGAAGGGCTGGCGGATGTCACAAATTGACTATTAGCTGATTTTTTTTCAATTGTTTTAATAACTAAACCATCTATTTCCCACATTAATTTTAGTCGATCGTATTCATTTAGTTTTCTTAGTTTGTTTGCCAATTTTTTTCCGTATCGGTCGCAATCGTCTTCGGGTACTTCTTTCGTTTGCAAAACTTTGTAAGTGTTGACATAGCTTCTTTCGGCTTTTTTCGGCTTCTTGCAGCTCTATTGGGTTTTTGCAACGTCGTTGTGTCACAGGACCACCGAATGGTTTTGGATCTGTAGGTGAAGAAGTACCTGCGGTAGGGAGCTGTAAATTTTCTGTAGCATTTTCATCTAAATTGCCTTCACTGTCACCTAAGTCTTGACTCGCAGGGGACTGGACAATCTGTAATAACAAAGAAACATTATGTTAACACAAATATGTTTACTAATAGATTTTTTATCTTTACAGATACCGTCGTCATGGCTTGAAGTAGAAGAAGGTTTCAGAAATTATTTTCCTCGGTGTATCGGTGCTTTCGATGACAAGCACATCGTTGTTTAAAGCCCAGCACTTAGTGGTACCGAGTATTATAACTACAAGAAAAGTTTTAGCATCTTACTTTTGGCTCTGATAGACCATACAAATTAAAAAAAAATACAAATTCTTATTTGATGATATTGGTTGTCAGGGTCGAATCAGCAACGGTGGGGTGTTTCGTTATAGTTTATTATGGCACAAAATTTGTTCTTATAATCTTAATTTACCACTACCAGCTCTTTTGCCAGGCTTGACAAGAGATGTCCCCTATGTTTTTTTAGGAGACGGAGCTTTCGCTCTTAGCAAACACGTCATGAAACCGTACCCCGGTGATCACGGAACAGGAACACCAAAACGTGTATTTAATAACAGACTATCATCATCTGTGAGTAGTAGTGGAGAATACTTTTGGTATACTGGCATCAAAATTTAGAATTTTTCGTAAGCCTATACTACATAGTCCAGAAAAAACTTCTATTTTAACAATGACATGTATACTCTTGCACAATTTCTTCCGGAAAAGTGGAACATCAAGCAGAATTTACACACCACCAGGTACTATAGATGTTTACAATGACAATGGTGAATTGATTCAGCCTGGTCTCTGGAAGAACGGAATTGAAGAATTTCAAGAATCTTGTGCAATAAAAGCTTTGCCAAATGTACCTAGAAGATCTCCTCTGAATGCGAAACAAATTCCAGAAGAATTTACGTTGTATTTTTCTAATAAACATATAGAAACACAGGGTATAAAAACTACGAATCTAATTTTGGGAAATGATCAAGTATCGTTAATAGATAAATTTATAAAAAATAGAAAAAAGTTATTAAAATCGAAATAATTTATATATTTTTTTATAGGATAGGATGACAAACGAGCACACAGGCCACCTGATGGTAAGTGGTTGCTGTGGCCCATGACATCTACATTTATCCTCGATTACGTATCGAAATGCAGATGCGTTTTCATCCGTGAGGACTTAGATGAAATGCCTCGTTTTCAGTAAAAAAGGTCTCCGGTTCCTTACACTCACCATATGAAACACAACAGCATTAAGCTACTATTTGATGCTGGTATTCTGTGAGAGCGTGGTCCTTCCCCGGTCAAGCCGACCCGTGCTACAACTGTAATATATACTAATATAACTGGAGCATGGCTCTACCACGTAAAAGTGAGTCAAATTATATGTAAAACATAGTTAAAGAATTGGTTATCATTATCATCTGGCATTATGAATATTAATATTTAATAACATAACAATTATAACTGGTATGTTTAGAAATTACATAAATTATTATCCTTAATATCAATAACATAATTCTTAATAACATAAAGATAAAAATATAATAAATATCGGATATTAATATTATGGATTTTTTATATTTTTCCTGTAATCTACTATCGACACTTAGTCATTTAATATAACATAAACTCTCACGCCTGTCACATAGAGGGGTAGGAAGAAACTACAGATTTCCATTTGGCATGATCCTGACACACCTCTCTCGCCTACTTCACGTTTATATACCTACGCATACATGTTCGTCGGTTAAGGGTACTCTTATTTGGCCCGTTTTTAATAAATCGTTAATTTGGTTGATACATTTTCGCCTAGGACGTCCCTTTCCGACTCTGCCATTCACTTCTGCAACATAAATTTTCTTTGTCACTCTTTCCTCATTCATTCTTTTCACATGACCAAACCACCGAAGCATTCCTTTCTTAATCCTGGTCACAACATCATCTTTATAACTTGTATTGGCCATGGATTTGAGGGCTGCAGCAAAATTATTTATGGCTGCAGCCAAATTATTCATGGACTGTGAGGGCGTATTCATGGCTGCAGCCTGAATTTTAAGACACTCTTCAAGTCTATCTTCTACAACAACATGCAACATATTAAGACATGAAATAATAACCAAACAATAAAAAGTAATCAATATAACTACGTTTTTTCATTGTTTTTCTATCATCCACAACCGGATTGTGGACATCTTCATCATTACCAGCTTCTGCATTACCTTCAGGAATATGTAAAGACAAAACGAAATGAAACTGTATAACATCCTTCCTACTTCTCTCACTTATAAATGGGGTTAGGGATCTCTATCAGGTTGTACATACTATGTACATTTCTTTAGAATGAGTTTATTCTTCCTACTTCTCTCACTTATAAATGGGGTTAGGGATCTCTATCAGGTTGTACATACTATGTACATTTCTTTAGAATGAGTTTATTCTATTGTGGACTCATACTGCTGGATATTTAATAGCAAATTTTGAATAACTACGAACATACATTTATCAATTTAATTTAATTTTTGTTATAAATATTTGTTGTACCAAACAAATACAAGTTACACTACAAAGTTCCATTTCTTTTATGAAATCGAAAAGAAGCATGGAGAGTATTGAATCTTAAAAATTAAATATGAATTTGTAGTACCTCTAAGGTATCGGCAACGGCAAGGCCCTCTGCTGCTTCGTGGCCAATAAATGCCATTAGAGATTCCTCCATGGCAGATAAGGGTGCAGGTCCAGGCCCTCCACCAGTCTGCTGCTGAGCACGGCGGATTTTGCCAGCTTTAGCTTTAACGTCGCTGCGCCAGTCCTGCCAACACTATCAAACATTTGCATTAATAGAGGTTAGAATGCTCATTTGTAGGCATACATAACATAATTGGCTTTAAGCTATCTACTAGACTAGCACTACAATATGTATGAACTTCTGGCACCTAAACGCAGACATACCTTTATCCATTTTTCTGAGCTTTTTGTTGCTCCTGTGGTACAGCTGTTTAGGATTGTGACTACTTGAGCCTGCAGTTTTAATTTTCTACATGCAGCATCTGCGCTTGCAACCCGATTTCTGGCAAAATCGGGATGCGCCACACTGCTCGTAGGAAACACGTGATCTTTTTTGCTGAAATATAAAAAAAAATTATCTAAAATAAGTTTCATTGAAGACAAGAGTAAGTAGGTAAAACTTTTAATGTACATTTGCAATGTTTTTTTTAATTTTTTTGAACACACACACACAAACACAGAAGTATAAATATTGTTGCGCGCCTAAGTTAACGTCTGGCACTAGCGCAATCTAGTGTCGGGTAACAGAGCGAAAAGAGCTTTCCAGAAAATGACATAACTAATCTTTCAACTAAGAATTGAAGAACTAAGCTTTATAGAAGCCCTACACTCGAACTTTCGGCGCCTGGTCGGTTGGCGCGCGTATTTACTTGAATATTCTGGATGTTTCGGTCAAAAAGGTGTATTTAAAGGCTCTGCAATACGCGATCGGGGCAGTATTGAATTTGGCGAGACAAGCGAAGCTTCGGAGCGAAATAAAGTGAATCAGTGTGGTTAATCATTAGTGTTTTAAGTTTTAATTGGTGTTAGGTAATAAAAGTTCCCAGGCTCACTTCCCCACAGGAAGTGCACCTGGTCGAGCCCCGACGGTTCGACAAAAAATGAGATTGACTTCATTATGACGACCAGACGCCAACTGTTCAGTGATGTCTCAGTGGTTGCAAGGGTGAAAACTGGCAGCGATCACCGAATGGTTAGAGGCACACTGAACCTAAACGTTAAGTTGGAGAGGTCTCGTCTAATGAAGTCAACGCACCGTCCCCCTCGTGCTCTAATCCAGAATCCCGAAAACTTTCAGCTCGAGTTATGTAACCGCTTTCAGTGCCTACAAGATTGCAATGCAGTGGACGATATGAATGACAAGCTCGCGGAAACTATCCATGCGGTCGGAGCTAAGTTCTGCAAGACCCGCCGCAGAAGAACACAAAACTCTCCGATCACACTCTTAATCTCATGGCTGTTAGACGGGAGATAAGGCTGCAATCGTCAACAGATTTGACAGCATACAGGCAACTGAACAGACAGATCTCCAAATGCATGCGGCGAGACTTACGCAACTTTTAATACTGCTCGTATTAAAGAAGCGATCGAGCGGAACCAGGGCTCCAAAGTCTTTGCCAGAGATCTGTCTGCCAGTAAGAGCCAACTGTCAAAGCTGAAGACTGAGTGTGGCATCATCGTTTTGGGGACACCTGAGATTTTGAGTGAGATTGAGAGGTTCTATGGGCAGCTGTACACATCATCGTTGAAGCCACACGCAAGTGTGAGTAACGATCCAAGAGCAAGTCTTATCCGACACTATTCCGATGATATCTCAGACGTCAGTCTAAGCGAGATTAGAATGGCTCTCCAGCATCTTAAAAACGGCAGGGTCCCAGGCGAGGATGGAATTACAGCGGAGCTTCTGAAAGCGGGTGGAACACCGGTACTTGAAGTCCTTCAGAAGCTCTTCAATTCTGTCCTCCGTGGTGGCACTACTCCAGAGGCGTGGAGCAAAAGTGCGGTGGTCTTGTTCTTTAAGAAAGGCGACAACGCTCTCTTGAAGAACTACAGACCGATTTCCCTTCTGAGCCGCGTCTACGTGCTGTTTTCGAGAGTCATTACGAATCGTCTCACACGCAGACTCGACGACTTCCAGCCTCCCGAACAAGACGGTTTCCGAAAAGGCTTCAGTACCATAGACCGCATACATACCCTGCGTCAGATTGTACAGAAGACTAAAGAGTACAATCTGCCACTTTGCCTGGCGTATGTGGACTATGAGAAAGCCAAGTTGACTGTCGGTATATCGAAGTGCTGAAATGTTTATACAGTAGGGCTACGATGGCTATCCGAGTACAGAACCAGAGCTCGAAACCTATCCAACTACAGAGAGGTGTAATACAGGGTGACGTTATATCCCGAAACTCTTCTCCTCTGCATTGGAAGACGTTTTCAAGCTTCTGGACTGGAAAGGATACGGTATTAACATCAATGGCGAGTACATCACTCACCTTCGATTTACCGACGATATAGTCCTTATGGCAGAATCGCTGGAGGACTTAAGCACTATGCTCAATGACCTCAATAGTGCCTCCCAACGGATAGGTCTTAAGATGAACATGGACGAAACAAAGATTATGTTTAATGTCCATGTCATACCTATGCCGGTAGTTGTTGAGAGCACTATGCTCGAAGTTGTTGACGAGTACGTTTACCTGGGACAAATAGTCCGACTAGGTAAGTCCAACTTCGACCGAGAGGTCAAGCGACGGATTCAACTCGGCTGGGCAGCCTTCGGGAAATTACGACACATCTTCTCATCAGGTATACCTCAATCTCTGAAAACTAAAGTGTACAACCAGTGCGTGTTGCCAGTGATGACTTACGGATCTGAGACGTGGTCCTTCACTGCTGGCTGTATGAGGACGCTCAAGGTCGCTCAGCGAGCTATGGAGTGGGCTATGCTCGGAGTTTCTCTGCGTGATAGACTCAGAAATGAGGATATCCGCAGTAAAACCAGAGTGACCGACATAGCCCAACTGATTAGTAAGCTGAAGTGGCAATGGGCCGGCCATGTAGCTCGAAGAACCGATAACCGATGGGGAAGAAAGGTTCTCGAGTGGCAGCCTCGTACCGGTAGGCGTAGTGTAGGGCGACCCTCCACTAGATAAAGTGACGACCTGGTAAGATATGCAGGAAGGCGATGGATGCAGGTAGCTCAGGACCGTGCTTTGTGGCATTACTTGGGGGAGGCCTATGTTCAGCAGTGGACTTGTGAAGGGCTGTAATGATGATGATGATGATGAGGTAATAAAAGTGTAAATTTTGGTAATTCATTCAGTGTCACGAACCTCAAGCTCGTAACAATACATTTTTCATCAACTTATTAGGTACTAAAGTTAAATAAATCAAGATGTAACTAATAACTTGAAAGGCTCTACTCACCACGGGAATTTCTATTATTAGTTTATTTATATCACACAAAAAAGATTTAAGTTTAGTGACAACCACAAATTAATAAGAGTACTCAACAACTCTCGTTTTGCTCCGAAACGCAATGACAATAAAATAGCATTAACGAAGTATGTTAGTAAAAAGATTAATTTTCAATTATGAAAGTATAGACCGCATTAGCAATGTATATTAAAAGTAATATTTTTATCGAAAATTTAGATTAATTTACAATATTTGTATTAAAAATATGACATATTTGAAGACTTTAACGTTTTATGTAGTTTAGTGCTATTTTCGACTTCTCTTTCTTTATAAACGTTGCAAAATGGTATGAGCGACGGAGGTCACTTTCGACGCATAGACAATCTATAATGCACTCCCTGATATTCGACTGATATTCGAAAAGCTTTCCGTGTCGAATCCTAAACGAAAGGAGATGTGAATACCAAAGTCTGTGACATTCGTATCGAAAACTTGTCGAACGAAACTTTTTCGTTTCCGAGAGAAATCATTCCGACTCATTGTGAATAGCCCTGCTGGTCTGCCCGCCTTACAACTTGTCTAATAAACTGTGAAATCTTATTTTATTAATCCAATTGAACGTTCAACGATCATGCTTGCTGTTGACTGAAATCTATTATAATGAAGTTAGGCGTTAACATGTTAAGTGTCGATTATTTTTGTAAGGTATCATTACAAGAGGTTCTAAGGAATACGCTTGAACAGCCAGTAAATGAGTGTCTTGAGGAAATTGTGCTGGAGTAAAAAGATCTTGTAATCCTGACAGTCAGAAATGTCTTGCATCATGGGCTAAACCGACTTCGCCAGAATAAACATAAAGAAATTTTGGGATATGTCCGCATACAACCTGTAAAATAAAGATTGTTATAAAAATATGAAGGTAATATCACGAAATTGATAAGAGAAATGCCATTTCCAAGAGAAATACCAGGAAAAAGTCAGAAATTTATAATTGATCTAGAAGATTGAGTTTTAAGAAGTGGAAATTCTAGTAGTAATTTGTTAATTTTTTTAAATATATCTTGTGAAGATATGTAGTCAGATAATCTGTAGCACAGGAGAAAGTTTCTGTGCTGGAATAAACAGATAATTTCCGGGATCAAAAAAGCTTAATCATTGCAAAATGTTAGGTTATGCATTACCTTAGTTCGTATGGAATATCTTCCTTTTCTGCATATGTAACTTTGAGCATTAGCATTAGACGATGGAATGTTGACATGAGTTCCATCAACAGCTCCTATGATCCCGGGGAATCCATATCGTCTTTCCATATAAGCTGAAGTTATCAAAGCTTCTCGGGTACTAGGCCATTTGATGAACGTTGGTAAATATTTGTACAAGGCTTGTACAAATCTCCAAACAATTCCATTACAATTAGCCAGTAGCTTTGCCAATGTCAAAACGCTCGCGACAGATCTGTAAATACGAACGAGCAATATTTTTATTTAATATTATAGAACATTATCAAATAAACAATTTAGTAAAGGGGGAATATTTTAAATTTACCTATAGGAGTCTGGAGTGGCCATCATCCAAAGTGCCATGAGAATTTGGTTATAGATAGGAATAGATCTTGCAGCATTATCAATTGTCATGGATAAATCTAATCCAATCAAATTAATAAAAAAATCCACGCTGGACCTTTAAACTCTAAAAAAATGGCATTGACATATAAAAAATGTCGATTAATATTTGCTTTTTGGGCGTAATAATACTGGTGAATGCGGTGAGAAAATGAAAAATATATTGGTTGTAAAAGAGAGAGAGAGCAAATGGATTGTAAGTTTATTTGATATATGCGGTAGAACAAATTATTTGTAATTATAATATAATCTTTATACAATGCGGAATGCCTGTGGAAAATACCTCATGAAATCAATAGCAAACGAAGGTTTTGAAGCAAAACACTTACCGCATCTTCAAATTCCTCGGCCTGGCGGATTTTCGAGGTACTCCACGGAAGGCAGCTACAATAGTACATAGTCACAGAATGCGGTATAAAAAAATATATATGCGAGGCGGCGGGCGGCGGGCAGAAGCGACCACTCATCACTGTCTTCATAGATGTGTCCATAGATTAAATCATTGTTTTTAGGTGTGGCGCGATCACAGAACGAATCATACTAAATCTAGAAGCGAATGCATCAATTGTCACACGTCCATATAGCAATTCTACAGACATTATTATTTTATTATTTTATTAATTTTTTATTTATTATAGGCCCAAACAAATACATACCTGAAATTACTTTTAAATGTCGTGTCAGACATTCGAAGAATAATGAATGCCACATAATTGTAAATTATTACAATCCTTTCTCCTCTTTAGTTATCTTCCAGGCGGCCCCTAGACCCACAATAACATTGTGCATTACATTTTTTTGTACAATAAGATTGAAAGGTGCTTTGCATCCAAACGATCAATTATATTGCACAAAAATACGAACTGCTCAATTTTTTCGTGTTCAGGGAGAGCAGCATGTCCGAACAAGATGCGGCTGCAGCTGTGGTGTTGTTGCTTATAGCTAAACGTAAACGTAAACGAACATGTCGCTGGTGTAAAGAAAGAGTGGTACATGAAAAGATTTCTGCCTACAAGTCTGTCTTTTAAAATCTTTTAAAAGACTTGATGTTAAGTGAGGAATCGGACTTCCAAATTATGTACGACTGGACTTTGAAAAGTTTCAAGAGCTACTAGAATCGGTCACGCCATTGATTGGGGAAAAAAGCAAACATATGGGAAGCAATACCACCTTTTCAACGGCTTTCAATAACATTACGGTACCTATACCGACAGTCAACTTGGCTTTCTAGCGACTGGAAATACTCTAGAAGATTTAAAGTTCCATTGTGCTATTTTCCCACAAAGTCTTTCCTTAATAATTATGGAAACCTGCAATGCGATAAAACGTGTGTTGAAGAAATTAATCAGGGCCAGTGTATACTATAATATTTTCATATATTTATTAAACTTTATATATTGACACGGTGAATCTTCGTTCAACATTGTATCATCAGCGACATTTTCCACTTGAAAATTGTTCATGTACTGTTCATTATCTCTCAAGAGTATGTGCTACTTCCAACAACAGGATGATTCTGCTGGTTACGTAACCAGATGCTGAAAAACCATTTCCGTCGCTGTTTTGAGGATCGCTATATTCGTAACTGTTGGACTATTTATTTTTACCGAATCGCGGTCTAAAAGTCCTAATTGTACTTCCATGATAATGTCAGCAATAGCTTTTTTAGCAAATATTTATTGCATTGGTTCCACTTTCTTTAAATCTGCAGCACAAGACAGTCCAGTTTTGATATTCGTCTGGTTTCTCGGTAAGACGGTTAGTTGCCAATTGCAAAAAGTTGTCTTCAAATTTTCTCTTCAAATTCTTATTTTTAGTCTTCGGAACTGCAAAGAATGTAGATGGTGCTTCATCTGTTCCCACAGTTGTAGTACCCTCCTGAAAAAGAGAAATAATTGATTTTTATTTTGTTTTAAGTTGTCACAAACAGCCTAAGAATGGGAACAAGTTGCTAAGGATTTTGAGATCATGTGGAATGCCACTCATGTAATCGGTGCTATAGATGGAAAACACGTGGAATTAAAGAAGCCACCTGGTTCTAGTTCACACTATTATAACTACGAAAAACATTCAGTATTGTGTTGATGGCGGTTGTTATTGCGAACTACGAGTTTATTATGGTTAAAGTTAAGACCAATGGTCGTGTATCAGATGGAGGTGTGCTGCAGAATACAACATTTGGAAAAAATAATGCTTTAAATATCCCACCACCTTCATTATTACCTGTAAGTTCCCGAAAACTCCCATATTTTTGTTGGGGATGCTACTTTTCCAATATCTTAAAATTTACTAAAACCATATAGCCAAACTGGATTAACAAAAGAGAGAAGAATTTATACCCATTCAATATCGCGAGCTAGAAGAATGGTTCGTTGAGCGGCGGGCCTTAAGGTTGCCGAGTCACAATTCCCCGGTCGAGCCTTGATCCTACTACGCGAGATGTTATACTAGATGGACTGTATACGCGGTTGGCTTCTTCTGCTTCAACAAAATGGTGGTGGTATAAAAAACCTATTGCTTGCCAAGGTTTATGAAGGAACCCTGCTTGATCACATTAGGAGAAATGAAATTGGGGCGGATGAACTAATAAAACACAAATACTCAAGCAGGGGACGTAAATAAGGAAGCGCACTTACCGGGGTGTCACTTCGATGCGGCTTGGACGCTTTGTTGCTACGGTGTGACTTCTGGTGGATCTCCTGGGGCCCCAGGGATGCGGTCCTGGTCGGTGGTACGATGGGAGAGAGTGGTGCGCGACTATTTCTCACACGAGGTGAGGCGGTTGCTCCTGGAGCTCGACTGCTCCAGGCTAATGCGGTTGAACTAGCGGTGCGCGTGGGCAAAAGCCCTGTAGGACGCGACTTTCCTAGGCGGTGTGGTTCCAACTAGCGGCCGAAGGGAAGAGAGTGCACGAGTGCCGTGTGCGGGCTTATATCTCCTTTTTTCCCACCGAAGTCGGGCGCTCTTCTCATTGGTGGCGAGAATCACGTGATTTTCTAGAACTTTCTTCTTTCCCCTCTCACCCCACCACCCCGGTGTGTCGGAGGGACAACAGGTGAAGGAAAGGTCGAAGGAAGGACAACCTTGGCAAGCATACCCTCGAATAAAATAAAAATACGAATGGTTTTCCGCGCAACCATCCCCCCCGGCTTGAAGGGTCCCCTTCAAAAATAACTAAAACAACTAACGCTAAGATTAGACTAACCACATAACTAACACTAAGGTTAAAGCTAAATTTCGAGTACAATTTCTAATCTAGAAACCTAATTTAAACTATTGAATGGGCAAAGGACACCAACGGATTGTGATACTCGACAGGACCTAAGGTCAGCCATTTCCGGAAATGACGGCTTAGGACGTACTCGAAAGCAAGCTATACATCTGTGCACCCGATTGCGGATTAAATTACGTGCGGAAAGAATCCAATAATTCTGACGCAAGATCATCAGCAAGTCGGGGCCAGCGTGAGAATTCAATTTATGATGGTAATCAACTAACAAATTCATGATATGGTCTTTACGCGGTAAAACTATAGGGTGCCGTTGATCGAAACTCAACTGTAAGTTGGACAAGCGTCCACCTACCCTGACGATCCCATCTTGTAAAAATGGCTTAAGGCGTTGAAAAGCGCGACTACAAGTTCTATTCGATTATAATCTTGTAATTTCCTCGGAAAAATGTGCACGTTGAAGTTCACGCAATACTAGCAACTCGGCATAGTTGTTATCGGATGCTAAGATATACGAACGTCGCGGTAAAAGCTTCGCGAATCGACAAACGTAAATTACGCTACGCAATAATTTCGACCAAGAGGACAAGCGGTTCGCCAAAGCAATGATTGGAGAAACCTCGCTCGAAACGCTCGCCACCAGAGCGTGCCTCTTCTCTTCCGGCGGTTGTGACACTGACGAAGGGTCGAAGTCGGTTATTGGCCATTGCGAGGGTTCCAAGTGAACCCAAGAAGGTCCGTGGAACCAAAGCGGATGGTCCATTATTTGCATCGGGGTGAGTCCACGGGATAGACAATCGGCAGGGTTTTCCGTACCGGACACGTGATAAAAGTTCCGCGTTCTTAACTCGTCTTGGATCTTGGCCACTCGGTTCGCGACAAACGTATCCCAACGGTGGGGTGAAGAAGAACCCAACACAAAGCGACGGTTGAGTCGGAAAAGGCAAATATCCTTTCTATGTGAACTCTGTCATTATATGCGCTGATAACTGCGGCGATAAGCTTGGTAAGGACTAATACCGCGCAAAGCTCTAAGCGCGCCAGAGAGACAACCTTACGGGGGGAGACTCTTGACTTAGAGCTAATGAGGCTAATCGAATTTCTACCATTATTCTGGACGTGGAAATATACAACGCCCCCGTAAGCCTTCTCGCTGGCGTCTGCAAACCCAACGACCGTGATGACGCTATTTCTATCGACGTTTATATGGCGTGGTATTTTAATTTCTCTTAGTAAAGGAAGTTCCTCTCTAAAACGCTGCCACAATCGAACAATGCTGTCAGGCGGCGAGTCATCCCAATCGCATTCACATAACCTAAGTTGTTTAATCAAAAGCTTAGCGTATAGTACCACCGGAGCTACGAAACCCATTACATCCCATAATCTAGCAACGCATGACAGTATTGTGCGCTTTGTGCACGTTTCTGCGGGCGAGTTTACCTTAAGGTTAAACACGTCGGACTCTGGTGACCAACACAGACTGAGCACCTTATGCGTATCAGAATCGTCGAATTCCTTTATCGCCGAAAGACGGTGTGATAGTGGGTTTGTATCTAAAACCGGACGCGAATTACTAGTCCACTTGACAAGATCGAATTGACCCGATTTCATGAGTTTTATAAACCTCGGCGGTGGTTAGGGTGGCCTCCTCCACGCTATCGATCGAGTACACAAAATCATCCATATATAATCCACTTTCAATTGCCCTCTTAGCTTCAGGATACGAGGGACCTTCATGGTAGGCTAGCTGTCTTACCGTGCGTAACGCATGAAATGGGCTCGACTTTAAACCAAAGCAGACGCGGTTAAATTCAAACACCGTTTCTTTTGGGCTGAAACGATATAAAATGCGTTGGAATCGACGGTCGCATTCACGGACCCCTATGCAAAGAAACATTTGGCGAATATCGGCGGATAGTGCTATACTAAACAAACGAAAATTTGCTGTTATATTAAATAAACTGCCCTGTAAATTTTTCCCACTATAGAGGATATCGTTAAGAGAAAGGTGAGTGCTAGTTTTAGCACTAGCGTCGAGCACTACACGTAACTTGGACGTAAGTTTGTCTTTCCTAATGACCCCGTGATGTGGTATGGAATACGACGGTGTATCTTCGTAGTTGTCTAATTTCGGAGCCACAAGTGATATGTAACCTTCCCTTATATATTCGTTAATGACGCCGTCATAAGCTTCCTTTAATTGGGGTAAAGCGAGCATCCTACGCTCCAAACTGTAGAAACGTTTTTCCGCCATTTGACGCGAATCGCCGAGAAAAAACATCTCCTTTATAGGGTAGCGCTACACTATATCGACCGTTGCGATCACGAACGGTCGTGCGGACGTAAATTTCCTCGCATAATCTATCATCTGGGCTAACTATAGGTGGAACGTTCACCTCCTCCATCTCCCAAAATTTGCGTACTAACGACTCGAGCGGTTCGACAGCCACACAACAATAAGAGGTTGCCGAAATACTATCCATGATGGGGGCGGAGCCAACGATGACATAGCCCAAGACGGTTTCCAGTGCGTAAGGCGCGGTATGCGAGTAGTTGCCCCTGACCTTATTGTGTAACAAAAGATGAGGGAAAAGCGATGCTCCAATGAGCATGTCTCTGTTTCCGGGGACGGCGTAAGTATCGTCTGCCAGAGTCAAATTTTCAAATTCAATCATTGCCGAGGTGTCGATCGAGACGGTTGGCAGACGTTCAGTGACTTTATCTACTACTACTAATGCATTTATGTCAAAGTTAATATTACGATCTAGCCGAGAATAAAATTTCATGATTTATATATCCCTGGGTAATTTTACTAGTACCTCCGCTGCCTTTGACTACGGGACATGAAGGTGTCCTATTTATTGGCGCGCCTAAGCGTAACATTATCGCGTTATAAAGCTGTAGCGGCGCTGACGTCGCGCCACTAGCACACCGAAACACACCCAAGCCTAAATCGCGCTATTAACTTTCCGAATCATAGACAGCATATATAGAACTTCTCCGAACTATCACATGGAGTGTGAGCCGCTCCCCGGGCAGAACACCTTGCCCGGCGGGAGATCTCCCCTTTTCCTTCATCGGCCACAGTGGTGACCCCGACGTGATCTGAACACGCAACCAAACAACCTTCGGAAACTTCAAGCTTCATCATCGTCATAGAATACCCCACTCATTCGCTCCCGAGCAGATATCGTCTGCAGTCTTCATATCCTGCAAGCCATCTAGCTTCACAAGGTTCATCGCAGCACTGGAATAATAATGCTTCCTGTTCCTTCAAGCTACTCTCTGCGCTATACAGTGTTCGGCACGGCTCTGAGCCTTACTGCTCGCCTCTGCTTCACGGCACTCTCGCAGATTACTTGCCTTCTTCTCGACTCACCACAGACTACAAGGCAATCTCCTGGCTCTTGCACATTCGTCAGCAACGAGGCTGCACTATCAACCTCCGGTCTGAGCAGGGGGGTGATGTAGCGGCGCTGACGTCGCGCCACTAGCACACCGAAACACACCCAAGCCTAAATCGCGCTATTAACTTTCCGAATCATAGACAGCATATATAGAACTTCTCCGAACTATCACATGGAGTGTGAGCCGCTCCCCGGGCAGAACACCTTGCCCGGCGGGAGATCTCCCCTTTTCCTTCATCGGCCACAAAGCTATTTTGGGATCCGCTGTCTAGCAATGTACGGACGTTTTGTTCGTTTCCACGCGAATCCCTAACTACAATACGGGCTGTACCCAGTAACACGATTGAAGGAGGCTGTGTTCCCATATTCGACAATGAGCACAGAGCGACATCACCAGGTCGACCGCTAGAATCGTCGACTTTAGTAGGTGTGATTTCCTTGTCCGATTTACTTTACGCAAATATGTTGCTGTTTTCGAAATGTAATAACGTGTGATGTTTTCTGGCGCACTTGTTACACACGGAACTAGAATTGCATTTAGCAATTAAATGTCTATCGCTTAGACAATTCAAGCATAAGTTATTTGTCCTTACTATTCTATAACGTTCGCTGGGTGAATGTTTACGAAAGGTCGCACAATTGTATAAATTACCGTGTTGTTTATTTTTACATAGAACACAGGCGCTATGGGGCGATACAGGCGCGGCGGTTACGTACGTTAGAGACCCTGCGGTTTTAAAATGTTCACTCTCTCTACCCGGACTTCGTATAGTAGACTGAGTATCCATACTAGAATGTGAATCAGATGTCGATTCATGATCTTGTAAAAAAAATTTCATGAAAATACCATAAAGTAGGTTGGTATATGTCGTTTGCACTAGATCCGGATTTCATCGACTGGAGGTGTTTCTTGAGCTCCTTTCGGTAGTTATTTCTCAAAGATTTGAATCTTTTCTTTACATCATCTTTGCTTGCCCGTGGAAACATCTCTTTGTATTTAGACAACAATGTTTCGTAAGCAGCATTTTTTATCACGGTCATAATACTCTTTGTTCTTGACATTCCAGAGAGATGGTAATTCTCTATATAATTGGATACATTCGACGATAAACTCTCCCTCCTTAACTTTTAGATTCTCTTTGACCGCCATTTTTGGGCACGCGCGTGTACTCCAAGTCAGGATGAAACAAAGACTAAAAAATATTGCGCAATACTGGCCCTACACAATGCAATGAAAAATATGGTACAATAAAAATTAAACTCCAAAAAATAAAATGGGGAAACAAAATAAAATTTAAAGTCTGAATCTGAACCGTAGATGTCATCAGGATCTTCGTCCTGCTGGATAGCTGACCCCAGAATGACATCATCTGTGTATTTAATTTCGATTTTCTCTTCTTCCATCTTACGTTTCTTGTTGTGGGGTGAAAGGTTTTCGAAGTGAAGCTCCTCACATTCTAACCATTGCTTGCCCAGGATGATGTTTCTCCCTTGATTCTCGACCCGCTTGACAATCTCCTCCATGTGCCTATTTTAAGTAGACCTGGTTGCGTACTTCATTGAGGAATCTTTAACAGCAGTGTATAGCAATCCCCCAAAATAGACATTATTTGCCTCTCCTTCTTCAATCTCTCCACTACAAGATTCAAGATGTCTGACGGTTACTAACTTGTTGCCTTCTTTCGCTGGGTGAACAATCTTATAGCCTTCTAGAATTCCTGTCATTATCTCTGACTTTCCTATTTTTTGAGGCTCTTAGCCACCTTCATTCCATAGAACAAGTAGCTGTTATGGGTCTCACTATAAACGAACACGCCTTCATCCGCTCCCATGTGAATTATAGTCCCATCTGGGAGACAGTATGATAGTGGTCCTATCTGAGAATTACGAGGGTCCAGATTACAAAAACCGTATAGGAAACATATATAATAATAGTTGACATTCTGACTTTCTATAAGTCTCGTTATTATAGATCTTGCTGTCATTGATATCTGACGACCTGCTCTTACAAGAAATTTCATCATCAATTATTATGTTATCAATCTCCTGATCATCCTGTGGTTCCTACATACCACTTCGTCGGAGAATGGCAATAGGCTCATCTGTGGAACATCCACTATTATTTTGAGAGCCTTTCCGGAAAGCTCTCAAAATAAAACATAGATATTCTATCTAAGTTCTCGTCCAGTGTTACTTGATGACACGCCGTTGTCACATATTCCGAATTCGGCTGGTACAGATATTTGCCGCAATTCTCCCTATCTTTCAAATCCCTAATTTATGAGTAAATCCCTATTTTACAGCCTAGGAATTTGTATTGATTTCTATTCATAAACCGTTCTATCATATTGTAGGGAGATTTTTGTCAACGTGTCATGTAACATTTTTAATGAATTCGGGAATGGCCATATTTATGGTTTTATTTTGTCATTACACAAAATTTTGTGTTTTTCGAGATAGGAATTACTTTCGCCAAAAAAGATATTTTCCAATTTTTTTTTGTAAATTTGATAACAATGCTATGGATCAAGATTTTTCATTAACTTTATTGGATATGGGCTTTGCTGTGGTGATGTTAATGTCTGAATGTAATATGGAGATGATGATGGCTGAATGTAATTTGGGGATGGTGATGGGTGGCTTTGTTGTGGTGATGTTAATATCTGAATGTGATATGGAGATGACGATGACTGAATGTATTTTGGAGATGGTGGTGGGTGGCTTTGTTGTGTTAATGACTGAATGTGATACGGAGATGATGATAACTGAATGTAATCTGGGGATGGTGATAGTCGGGTATATTGTGGTGATGACGAAATCTGAAAAATAAGGAAATTTCGAGATCCTTTTGTTTCGATTATTGAATCATAATTAAGGTTCCTTGTTTTTTGCAAGAAAAAGAACATCAGAAATTAGTTATTCAGCCACTTGGCGTTGAAATGTTTCAAACTGATCTAGTTGTTCTCCTAAGTACAAACCAAATGAGTTTATTTCCTTCTGATTTTCTTTTCTATCATCGCTTTGCAATAATTCTTGTGCAGTATCTATTATTTTTTTTTATCTCCAAGATATTAAGCCTTTTTCTGCCCTTCTCATGTTTTGATGGAAAAATGTTTGTTTCAGTTACCCTCATCGAAATATGAATGGTACATGGCTGCGAAATCTTTTCAAGAACTAAAGTGTGTTGGTTCTCGTTGTGAAGTGTCCGATTCCTCACAGTGTTGGTGATGTCTAGACTTGTTCCATAGTCAACACTTTATTTCTTTACTCCGTAAATGCATAGGGAAGGATTGGTCGTTTTGATTGGTTGGCTTCGGGGCTAGCTTCAAGTTGTTATTCAAACGTCAAATGTTAATCAGTACATAACCTCATTTCATATGTTGATTTTTGCAAACTGGTTTGTGTAACAATGTCTCAAGTAAAATTTTAGCTTGAATACCAATTATAATTTTTGTGATAATGTAAATAACATCTCTGGCTTACAGTGCTAAATGGTAACTCAAAGGCTTTTTCTCAGTAATGTTTATTTCGTGCGGGTTTCTTGATAATTCATTCATACATTATTTTAATTTTTAGCTAAAAAAACGGCCGAAAAAGAACTACTAATAAGTTTGGTGATTGAACATCCTATTATTGAAAACAAAAAAAAAACAAATGCCAGAAACATTGAGCTCAAGAGAACGGCATGAGACGAAATTGAAAATGCCTACAATGCAGTACATTTTGTACTCAAGAGAACGGCATTAAAGCTAAAGAGATACTGGGAAAACATAAAAAGTTGTAGTAAGAAGGAATTGTCAATGGAAGCTGGGAGTTTGGTACAGACTGGAGGTGGGGTTGGTGAAACGGGCTTTACTTACTATAAACATCAGAGTTTTTATTATATAATATAATGGCATTTTTTGGAATTTAAGCAACATCATTGTTTCTGTTTGCACTAAACATCAGTTCTGTGGAAATACATGCTCCAGAGAAAATATACAAACAAAACGAATATCGTAATATCGTTATTTGTAGTATTGTCAAAATGTTACTTAAAATAAATATGCACAAGATAAATTATATCTGGACATTCTATAAAGTCATTTATTTTGTGAACATGCTGCTTTATTTTTAACTTTTCCTTTTTTGCGATAATGAAGTCGTAGAGAGTATGTCAAAACCAGAAAGTTTTAAATTAAACAAGAGGAAAAGAGGACTTTTGTATTTAAAAACATTAACAGGTAAAGTTACAAGTATATGTAATATTTTACAGTACGGGGGACATGAAGATGGCAAACATAAATTTATTGTGCAAGGGTTTTTAGGTTTCCATTACATACACTATCTACTTACAAGTGTACATAAATTATGACACTAGCAGACACACATGACTTTGGCAGTTTGGATGTGTGGATTTGTTTTTAAAAATCCCAAGGAATTTTAAAAAAAAAAAACAAGTCCCCAAAAAAAAAAAAAAAACAAAAAAAATAAAATATAAAAAAAAAAACCCACAAAAAAAAACCCTCGGTGTCATTCCTTCTTTTCTTTTTTCTTATTTTTTGCTCTTTTCCCAAAAAAAACTAGTTTAAAAAAAAAAAAAAAAAAAAAAATTTTGACAAACATGGGAAATACTTTCCAAACACCTATAGTTCTCTCAACAGTATTTCTGGTCTTAATATGAGCTTTATTATAATTTTGTTCAGCACCCGATTCTGGTCGTAGAACTGTTGTCAATAGATACGTTTGGCAGCCATAACCACTGTCACCTAAAAGCAAACCGTCAATTTCTCCTCCTTCCATCTTTGCTTTTAACCTACTTGCTTGAAATATGCGATTATCATGGACTGAACCTGGTCTGTCAGCCACAATGTCATATATTTGTAAGTTAGGGCCACACACAAGTTGTGTGATTATGGAGATTTTTTTTCCTTTTACGGAAAACTTCAGCAATATTTTCTCTAGGGTTTTGTATAGTAGCAATATGTGTGCAATCTATGCATCATCCTACTCCAGGAAACTGCGCAATCTGGTAAAATTTTAGTTTTGTATATTCACTGTGTTACGGCCCTCCGTTACCCCGACAAAAGTCGACTGGGCTAGGGCCCATAGTAACTCAAGTCGACGAGCAACTGAGGGGAGGGCCCTAATGGCCTATAGGTAATTAATTTATAACGGCTGCTATAAACAAACACAAACTTACCGAGTTCCGGAGGTAGTGTCGGCCACAAGGCACCGTCAGGGGTAAGTAAATGGTATGTGTGAGTGGTGTAGGAAAGTGTGTAATGTAACCTGACGTCACCGAGGTAATCGTTCTGCAGAACCACATGCGTTGCCCGCTCCACAAGGCGCTCACCGCTATCGGAACTCAAGTATAACGTCACTTAGTACAAACTATAATCGGACGCGATCTCCTCCGGATCACAAAGTTTAGCGTTCCACACGACAAAGCAAAATTCCTTCGTACAATATTACACTACACAATATAAGCCGCGCGTCGATGCAAATTAATAGCAATAGAAGTTAAGTCAATCACTCAAAACTCAGGAAAAGCCTCGTTGTCACGTATATTCACGAAATAAGACAACACAAAGGAGGCCGACGTAATGCGTCGTAACAATTCTTATGTCACTCTGATATGTTTGTGAATGCAATGAAACGACCGCTGTCTTGTAACACTCGTTTATTACTGGTTGGATGACCGTACTCCACACGTATATGTCATTCCTCCCCACTTAATTTTGGAACCTGGTAACAAGGTTTCTTAATTAAATACAGTAAAAATTTTTGTCTACATAAACTTAACAACTAATAATAACTATTAACAATAATTAGCGAACTTGATCTCTGCGTAACTATAATTAATAATCGCTACTTAAAAATACTTTTTATAATCCAACCTTGGTCTTGTACGTTTCGGGCGTGTGGCTAAAAGTGGCAATGTTGGCGGTACATGGGAATCGCCAACTGTGGACGGCACAGCCTCCGTTTCTGCCATAGGCCTTTAGGAGCTGACTCCATATGGGTGCCTATTGGTGACCATAATGAAAGATGAAATCTTTTACTAATATATTTATTATAGCGGAACGTGCCATACAGTTGGCGGGCAACTAGTGACTGGTTGAAAAATCTTATTCACTACATAATATAGTTACAATACAACATTGCGAAGTTTACATGTGTGTGCGCAGCACACCTACAATACTTCCCCCTTTACAAAAAATGAATACAAAAAACTTAAAACTATACAATGAATATAAACTTAAAACTAACAACAAAAACTTGCTAATGCGCTTGTGCGCAGGGCTGTACGGAGACCCCCGCGAAAGGGGTGGCGGCCGCGGCGGGCGCGGGCACATGCTGCAGACTGGTGCTAGAAGCACCTATCATCTGACCCATATTCTGGCCCGATATCGGAACGCCTGTCATTAACACCTGATGACGAAGCCAGCTTTTGAACTTCTTATTAAACTTTACCCAAATAGTGTACAGGATTATCGCCCCCATAAAACTGGCTATCACATATAACCATGTTTGAAAATTATCCACTTTATTCTCTACAGTATTTTGAGCCTGAGAAACAATAACTGGTTTTTCTTGAAAATTACCCATAGTAAAAATCGTAAAACTTATCGCGCTAATGCTATCGCAAAGGAAGTATTTCGAATGAAATTATATTAAATACATTATAACTAAACTAGCTACCTGGAACCTATATGAAAGTGCAGTATACGCAAAATACTGAACACGATACCTCTACAATTACATTCAACTTAAATAATGTAACTTGAATATCCTGAATGAAAATATTATGCACTTGACAATGCAAATAATACTTTCACATCCATAGTAACTAAACCTGATTATCATTTAGACATGTAATTGTATAATATATATTTTATATTAACACTAGCTTATAAATCGTGAAGGTAACTTAACAATCCGACCACTTCGCGTTGTTTTCACGGTTATCGGGTTGCTCGGGCCGGGTAACAACGACGTCAGCGGTGTGGACGGTGGTAACGGAAACCGTACATGCGCAGGTGCCACATCCGCTGCGTTGTCAGCGTTACTTTGGCGTGGCGTTGCTTCGTTACCATCACATTCCTTTAATACATATGCAGGCTTTAATCTGTCGATAGAAATATGTACCTGTCTATCGGGTAATTGAATTAGGTAAACTTTTGAGCCCCTTTTTATCACGCGGTATGGACCGTCGTAGGGTGGTTTCAAAGGTTTACGTATTGAATCGTCCCTAACAAAGACATATTCACAGTTACGTAAGTCCTTGTGCACAAAAAAACTATGACAGTTACGTGAATCGTCGGATGTAGGCTTATAACTACGAATAGTATCTCTAATCTTATCCACTAAACAATAATCATTGACGTTACGGTTGTTCGAAGAGCCGTCATAAAAGTCTCCCGGTAGACGTAAGTTTCGTCCGAACGTTAACTCGGCGGCGCTAACCCCTGAGTCACTGCGGGCGGCCGCGCGAAGCCCAAGTAATACTGTGGGTAGCTCTTCCACCCAGGACCCATGTGACAGGCGAGCTGAAAGTGCTGTTTTTAAAGAACGATGCCAACGTTCAACTGCGCCATTGCTTTGCGGATGATAAGGAGTAGTTCGAATTCTATTAACCCCCAACATTTTTAACAGCTGGTTAAAAAGACTACTCTCAAACTGGCGACCTTGGTCGCTAGTTAACTTTATCGGGCAACCGTAACGACAAATCCAACCTTCATATAAATGTTTGGCAACAGTTTCTGCCGTAATGTCTCGTAACGGAAAAGCTTCAGGCCACCTGGTCCTCCTATCAATTATCGTGAGTAAGTATCTATAACCATCTGG